TGGGCTTGGTCTTTATTCCCCAAGGGCGCTGCTCACAGCTAAGACTGCTGCTGTCTGTGGGCTCCCAGCCCACCAGCCTCTCGTGCCTCCACAGATCCTACCAGTGTCCCTGGTTAAAGAGTCCTGTCCTGCTGCTTTTCTGTTCCTTTTTTCCAAGGATTTGTCTTTATTTTAGTTGTAATTCCCATTTGGTCCTGGGAAATCATCTGTGTAGCTTCCATTTACTCCATCTCCATTTTCACATCCTCTACGCCTATCTTGTGTGCAGCTGGGTCGCACAGGCCTCTCTGGTGCCCCCACACCCTGCAGGTCCCATGGGTAACTGGATTGCACAATCCCTTTGGGGACCTGGCTCTATGCCTACATTATGGGCTGCTGGGTCACACAGGCCTCTCTGGTGCTTCAGCACCCCACAGGTCCCGCGGGTAACTAGATTGCACAGTCCCTGCTGGGTCGCACAGTCCTCTCTGGTTCTTCAGCACCCCATACACCCCACAGTTAACTGGATCGCACAGTCCCTGCTGGGTCGCACAGGCCTCTCTGGTGCCCCTACACCCTGCAGATCCTGTGGGCGGGCAGTTGGATCGTACCAGTCTCTCTGGGGCTCCAGCTTCCCACCACTCTTGTGAGCTGCTGGACCACACGGGCCTCTGTGGAGTCCCAGGTCCTGCTGCTGGTGGCTAGGGAGTGCTGCTGCCCTGTGGGGCTCAACTCCTGCTCAGCTTTTGCTATAGTTTTTGGGAATGGGTCTCAGCTGCTGGTCTGTGTTTCTGTTGCCTGGGAATGAATGTCTGCTCCCCAGCCTCTGTTGCTGGGGGTATATCTGGACTCTGATCAGGCTGCTACTATGGGGGATGGTGCTGGGCTCCCCGTTGTCCGCAGCTTCTGCAACTGGCACCTTGGGAGCTCCACTACTGTGCACTGGTCTGTGTCGACACAAAGTGTCCACTGGTCCGATGGTGCCACGTGCGCTGGTGGGCTCAGGTTGCTGGGCCCTAGCCGCTCCCACTTTCTCCTCCCAGGGAAGACCAGGGATCTTCCAGAAGTACTGTTTTGTTTGTTTGTTTGTTTGTTTGTTTATTTGTTTGTTTGTTTGTTTTGAAGTGCCTCTGGATTGAAACCACTGTGCCAGCCTGGACGAGACAATGTTTTATTGTTTATTATAAATAAGATGCACGCTCCTTGTGAGAAATTAGGAGAGTACAAATAGCTACAAAGAAGAATGTAAAAGTCACCTCAATTGTGTCACCTAAAGATCCACTTGTAAAAAAAATGTTGCTTTTAGGCTTTGCTCTAGACCTTGGGGGATGAGTGGGTGAATGAGTCAATGGTCCACTTCATGAGGCTTTCAGTAGAGTGGGAGACAAGATTTTACTCTATCTTCTGAATTTCACCCCAGGCTTTTCCCCATGGACTGTATTTATTTAAAGCCTTAGGAAAACACCGAGTGGTTGTGGTGTGGAGCGAAGGGGAGGCAGACCCGTCTGAGTGTGGCCCCACCACCCAGGCTCCAAGCAAGTTATTTAAAGTCACAGAGCCTCAGTTTCCCCTCTGTCAAGTCGGGGTGATTGTGCCTCTCTGAGTCTTTTCTTCCAGTTTCATTGATGAGTGATCGCCACGTATCACTAAGTCTAAGGTGTGCAGCAAGATGGTTTGAGTTACCCACGTTACCCTGTGGGCACCCCCAGGCTGAGGTAACTTCTCGCATTCCTATCGCGAGGGTGCTCCTTAAAGAGCTCTGCCTGGAGCGCACTGAACACCCATAAAGGAGCGACAGCGACCTTACGGCGACCCCCGTGGTCACACCACGTCAGCGTGTCCTCCGACCCAGCTGGGTCCAGGTCACCACTCCGTGTTTGCAGGACAGACAGGCGGCTCAGATCCTTGGAAAAACAGGTCCCTTCCTGTTTGCTGCGCACTGTTTTGCTACCAGTTCCAGGAACTGACTGACAAATATTGACTTGGCTGCTGCGATCCGCAAACACCGTCCTGTGGGTCGGAGGCGAAGCAGGGCTGGAGCCCAGAGCCCCAGCCCCGGCTCCTCCAGGCTCCTCGGTGAGTACGGTGCTTGCGCCGGGCGGGTGCGGGGGTGTGGCGCTCGCTCGCGCTCTCTGGCTTTGGCAGCGGCGATGGGAGAACTGAGTCCCCCTAAAGGGAAAAAAGCCATGATGCACTTACTGCTTCTAAGGCTTGAAGTAGGAATCTCAGGTTTTAAATAACCTTTTATGAAAAATTGGGTCCTCAGGATTTTGAGAGAGGAGCTCCCAGTATCCTGGCAGGTAGACAAGAAAACAACGATTCAATCTAGCGCCAAATGGCAATGCTGTTGTGGCAAATTCATGAGAGGCTCTGTGGTTTGAAGAGGGTGGTTCTGCAGAGCCCTGGTCTGGCCGTGGAGTCGCTCCGGCCGCTCAACAGCTGCTTGTCCGGACCTCGAGGCTGGTTTCCCCATGTGTCTGAAGGGTCTCGTACAGATTTAATTAAATGACAGGAAGCAAGTATTTTGGAATAGGTGGCATTTGGGGAGGACCATTCTTCACCACGTATGACCGTCCTGGCGTTTCCAGAGCTTTTTCTCTCCCCCTAGACTCCAGCAGGACCCCTTCTCCAGTTTTTGCGGTGACCCAGGATACTGTGCCCTCTTCCCACTCATCCCTCCCCCTGCACTTTAGAACATCTCTGGCTGGGGGGGAGTGATACGATGTATCGAATATCCCCACCACAAATGAACAATAAAAAGGAACATTACAATGAATTCATGGAGTTCTTCATTTTCCTCTGGGATCTTTCTGGGAAAGGAAGAAAGGGGCAAATCGGGTAGAAGTGCACCCAGCCTCGGCAGAGAGGGGTGGGAATGTGGCATGGCATCCGCCCCTGTGCCCGTGCTTCAGACGTCGCCAGTCTCGTAACCCCGAGTGAGCCGCCCCAGGAGGCGGGCTCAGAGAGGGTCCTTTGCACAGTATCGCACAGTCCTCTGTGGGGACTGGGTCCTTCTGGGAACGGTGGGTGTGCAGCAGGTAGGAAACGGAAGTCAACGCAATGGGGCAGAAAGAATAAGCCGGCAAGAGTTTCGTCATAGTTGTATTTCTTATTTTCCCCTGGAGGGCAGACCAATTGTTAAACGGTTCTGCTCCTTCCAAACTCTCCCCTCGAAAGAAAATCCAGGGGAGCAGAGGCGGTGGCTAAGGGAGCCCACAGCAAGCTGCAGGCAGCGGGAGGTGGCCCGGGGGACCGGCCCGCAGTACTTTGACCGGCACGCGAGTTTCAACATCACTGACCCTATGGCTACATCCGTCCCTCTGTCAGCCGGCCTTGGGCTTGGGGTGCTGAGGGCACCGGGCAGTCAGCCATCTGCAGGCCTGTGGTCTCTCCCACACTGCCGAGGCGTTGGGAACTGATCCAGAGGCCATTCGGTTTGAGCAGACGGTATTCAAGGTGCTGCTTAGGACACGGAGGCCATCAGGACGGAGGCACGGGGATCGGAGTGCACAGCCCCGTGGAGTGGGACGGGGGAAGTGTTCGTTTTGAAGGGAGCAGGGGGCGGCCCTCCCCTGGCTGGGGACACCCGGGTGCAGGGTCTGCGTGGCAGTGTGGCAGTGTGGCAGTGTGGGCTCCGTGAGCTCCACGTGGTGGTGCGTGGAGACCCTGAGAGGGGAAGGAGGGCGCTGGACAGGGACCGAGTGAGCGGACAGGCGTTGTCTACACCGCGCTTCCCCTCGGGCTGGGCTGTGTCCCAGGCCCTGCAAGGGTGGCCTGCTCCTGCCTGCGCTGACCCCTCGAGGGGGCGGAGGCTCTTCGCACACGTGTGACTGCAATCACAGGATGAGTGTCCCAGGGCTGTGACAAGCAAGGACGGCGGACTGGGCAACTCCACAACAGAAACGCGCTGTCTCCTGGTCCCGGGGCCCAGAATTCCAAGGTTAGGGTGTGGGCAGGGTGGGCTCCTTCTGCGGCTCAGGGAGGGTCGCTGGGCCTCTCCCTGAGCTCTCAGCAGTTTGCTGGGATCCTGGGCTTCCGTGGCTTGTTGATCTCCCCCTCCCCCTCCCACGGTGTTCTCCCGAGTGTGTGTTTATGTCCAAATGTCCCCTTTCTCTAAGGACACCAGTCTTATTAGATCAGGGCCCATCTAATGACTTCTGCTTAATGAATTACTGCATCTCAGTGGCCCAATTTCCAAACAAGATCACACTCTGAGATACGGGGGATCAGGACTTCAGCATGTGAATTTGGGGGCAGTTGCAATTCAACGCATAACAGAAATCTTCCCCAAATTCCTGCATCAATTAAAGTATAGTTCAAGCTACTGCCCGTGACAAGAGGTGGCCGAGGTAACACGTTTGATGGGGGCAGAGTTGATCTCTCTCTCATCTCCCCTCAGGCTCCATCCATCCCCTGGCTTGGCCACCTCTTGAGGGCTGCCCTCGTCCCCGAGGTCCCCGTGGCTGACCATCGCACCCACTCTCCAGCTGTGGGAGTCTGAAGTGCAGAGGGCACTCCTGTCTCTGCGGGGGCCCGTCCCCGGAGTGGCCGCGTCATCCTCTCCCCTCCGGTTGGCGAGTTACGGTTCATGGCCACACCTAGATGCCAGGGAGGCCCAGCAACACTCACTGCCACCATGTCCCGAACGTCCGCTCAGGAGTTCTGAGCATCAGCCCAGTGCTTGAAATTTAATGAACGATTGGAAGAATGATGGAAAGAAGAAAGGGAGGAAGGGAGGGGGGAGGGAGGGGGGGGAAATAGACCGTGGAAGTTGTTTTAATAGTACAGAGTCCTTTTCTCAACGTCCTCTGACATACCACTGTGTAGAGCAGATGAAGGTCTGCTGTCTGACCGGAGCCTTGGGGGACAGTGTCCAGACCCCAGCCTCCTCACCCCCTCATCCTCTGCAGGGTTCCTCATGGTGCCCGGGGGATAGTCTGGAGGTGGGGTGTGCTGTGTCAGCAGTGGGGTGCCATGCTATCGTTCATAGAGGGTGATGTGTCAATTCTGGTTTTCAGAGGATGGGGCCCGTGTGGCTGTGGCTGCTGGGAGCAGGGATCCTGGCCTCCGCCCACGGAGAAAAGAGTCCGGGGGTGCCTCCAGCCCCCAGGGGTCAGCTCTCGGAGTCGGCCCCCACCTACCACCAGATCACACCCACCATCACCAGCTTTGCGCTGCGTTTGTACAAGCAGCTGGCGGCAGAAACCCCAGGAAACATCTTATTCTCCCCGGTGAGCATCTCCAGCAGCCTGGCCCTGCTCTCTCTCGGGGCCCAAGCTGACACCTCGACTCAGATCCTAGAGGGCCTCGGCTTCAACCTCACAGAGACCCCGCAGGCCCACGTCCACCGGGGCTTCCAGAGCCTCATCCACACCCTCGGCCTGCCCAGCCCCAAACTGGAGCTGAAAGTCGGCCACTCCCTGTTCCTGGACAAGCAGCTGAAGCCTGGGCAGCACTTCCTGGCCCACACCAGGGAGCTGTACGGAGCCTTTGCCTTCTCCGTGAACTTCACGGACTCGGCTGCAGCGGGCAGGCGGATGAATGACTACGTGAGGAAGCAAACGTACGGGCAGGTGCTGGGCGGCCTCCCGGAGCTCACGGAAGACACGCTCATGGTCCTCCTGAACTACATCTTCTTCAAAGGTGAGTGCGGCCCGGCAGAATGACCGCCAGCTCCCCCCGCGCCAGCCCCGCCTCGGGCACCCGTCTTGATGTCTCACAGCGGTTTCTTCTGGCAGTGACCCCCGTACATGTGATGATGTTCGTACCCCACTGCTTCGTGATGGATCAGTGTTTGGTTTCCCTCACCATAGGTTTTTCTATTCTATTTCATTCTGATTTTTTTGTTGTTATACACTCAATCTCATTTTTCTATTAATTCCATTTTAGAAAAATATTTCATTTTTTTATGTGATCGATTTCAAACATACGGACATATATAAAGAATAATATGAAACTGCACACGGTCCTCTACCAAGAATGAGCACATTCACATTTTACCATTTGCTTCAGATTTGTTTTTGTTTTTTAACATGACGTTGCAGATATAGCTCAGTTTCCTTTTAATGCTTTCCTGGTCCCATGTCCCGCCTCCCATCGCTCCCAGAGGCCAGGGGTGACGTGTACTGTCCTAGGGGTGAGGTGTACCCTTCTCATCGGTGTGCACACACCATGAGCTCCGTAAGTGCACGTACATAGCCATCTGTAATACAGTCAACGTGTTTTAAAACTTTGCACAAATGCCCTCATACTGCATATATTATTTCGCGCTTGTATTTCGGTCATTGCCATAGCTTAACCCACGTAGATGATGTTGACTGCTGCCCCCATCATTTCACAGTTTCACGGTCCTTGTATTTTTTTGCCTCGGTTGCATCCTGCATTAGCGTCTATCTTTACAGATGCTTCTGGGAGGATGAGCACTTCCATTCTCTTACGCGCAGGTTCATGCCGTCTGGTTTTCTCCTGGGGTTTCTTCCTACTCCAGGGCCCACAGGACCCACAGGACACTCCGTCATCCTGTCCACTTGGGCTCCTCTGGCTGGGCCAGTGTCTCGGACTTTCCTTGCTTTTAACGATCACAACCCCAGGGAGGGGGATGGGCCAGGTGTTTTGTGGGCCAGGGTAGGACTTGGTTGATGTCTCCCGTGACACAGACAGGTGACAGGACGGGGGCGATGCATGACTGAGGTACAGTCCCCCCCCCCCCCCCGCGTCCCTCACAGTCGCACGTGAGTTGTAAATACATAAAAGAGCAACTACAACTCCATGGGGAGAAGATGCTCTGCTCGAGGAGGCCCGGGTGCCGTGGGCTCTTACGGAGACATCTGCCCAGGCTCGGGGGGGGGGGGGGCGGCCCCCTGGAAGGGAAGGAATCTAAGCCGGACATGAGGACGAGGCAGAAGGGCTGCAGGAGAGGTGGAGAGGAGCTGGTCAGACAGGAACAACAGAACGTGTACGCGTCCCAGCTAAAGAAACGGAAAGCTTCCATCTGAAACAGAACCAACAGGGGGACGCCCGGTGGCAGCCGAGAGTTGCAGTGAGACCTAAGCAGGAGCTCTGCAGAGGACCCTAGACTTTGTCTGCGGGCCCCAGGACTGCCACACAGCGGGGGGCGGGGGAGTGACGTGACCACATCTGGTTTTAGGAAGAGCCGTCTGGCTACACCTGGGAGAATGGTTTGGGGGGCGTAAGGGTCGGACAGCAGAGACGAGTTAGGGTGCTCTAGATTTGGAGCAAAGTAAGACGGTGGCCTCGGGTCAAGCTGCGGCTCTGGAGACAGAATCAGCAATGCTTGGTCACTGGTTGGATGGGGGCAAACGGACGGGATGAGCCCGCCCCTCCCCCTCGCCAAGACCAATGCTTTCAGGAGGCCAGGTCAGGATGGGTGTGGGCGGAGGTTAGAAGTAGAGAGGAAGACGATACCACACACAGACAGGGCGGTGACCACCAAACGCTGCATTTCTAACGATGCCTTAATGGGCATTTGCATTGTATATTACATTTATTAACCGAATTCTTTCTTCGTTTCCAGCTTGAATGGGAGGGAGTCGGGAGGGAGAAGGGGGCCTCCACCTTCCATGTGAAGGTTGCTGTCTAGAGGCAGCCGGGCAGACAGGCTGACTCTGTCTGTGAAGAGCCCGAGCTGGGGAGCCGGAGCCAGGCCGTCCCGGCTCCGGCACTGAGCGGGTCTGCAAACTGGGAATGTTTCCGTATATCCCCAGAGACTCCGTCTCTCATCGCTGACACCGAGGTTACAATACTCGTTTACTATTCATTCCGATGAAGATATAAAAAGATACTGCCTCGCACCAGGAAGGTGCTTAGTAGGTAGATGAAAATATGACCTTTCTGCCTCTTGAAAGTTAAGTCCTTTTGCCCTGGCCGGTTTGCTCAGTGGTTAGAGCATCAGCCCACGGACCAAGGAGTCTCAGGTTTGATTCCAGCCAAGGGCACGTACCTCGGTTGCGGTTCGACCCCAGCCCTGGTTGGGTCATGCAGGAGGCAACCAGTTGATGTGTCTCTATCACATCGATGTTTCTCTCAGTTTCTCTCTCTCTGCCCCTCCCACGCTATCTGATGATAAATGAAAAAAATATCATCAGGTGAGGAATAAAAAAATAATTTTTTTTTTAAGAAAGTTAAGTCGCTCTGAAATGAAATAAAATCACAGGCCATTGAGCTCGCCCTCCGGGGGCTGGTTCTGTGGTTGAACCGGACCTGACTCACATGCCCCAGACTCACATGCCCAGGAGAAGTCACCAACGAGGTGTGGCTTCGAGTGTGTCGGCCCAGAGCAGCTCTTGGGGTGCGTTCTCACGGTTCTGCGGGTTTTGTGTCCTAAGCCAAGTGGAAGCACCCTTTCCATGGCTACCAGCTGCAGAAGCCGGCGAGCCTCCCCGAGCACGCCAGGCCCTCGCTCCGCGTGCCCATGATGCAGCAGAAGGCGATGCACAGGTTCCTGTACGACCAGGACGCGGCCTGCACCGTGCTCCAGATCGAGCACAGCGGCCACGCGCTGGCCCTGCTCGTCCTCCCCGACCCCGGGCAGATGGAGCGGGTGGAGGCCGCGCTGCAGCCCGAGACCCTGAGGAGATGGAGCCGGCGGTTCCTGCCCAGGTAAGCGACGAGGCAGACGGACTCTGGCAGACCTCGTCCAAGAACCTGAGCAGTTCTTAGTCACCTCCAGTGGCAGGAGTCCAACCCTTGGGTGAGGCCGACCGGCTGGATCTTGGGCCATTTTCTTACCTGCTGGGCCTCAGATTTCCTCCACTGTAAACCGAGGCCGCCGTAGGCACACAGGGGCTGTTGGGAGGATTAACCGAGTTAACACACAGAGGGAGCCCTGGGGGTGCGGCCTGGTGCCGGACACGTGCTCAGCAGGCTGAGTCATCATCGTCCCTCCCGGGCATCTTTCCGCCAACTTCCTTTCCTCTTGCTTCTCCCTTTGTCCAAATAATGATCTAAACCAGAAGATAGTTCGGTGTGGCCAGAACATTAGACCAGGGACCATTATAAAGAATAATGATGGCTCCCTCAGAACAGAGTGTACTTCTTCAAAGTGTATCCTTTATTAATGAGAACATTCCGTGAAGCAGTGAAATTCACGGAGCTGTAAAACCCACGTGCCAGCCGAACAGGACCTCCATCCGCCTCTCCTCTCTCACCGGCTTGTCGACCAGCCGAACAGGACCTCCATCCGCCTCTCCTCTCTCACCGGCTTGTCGACCGGTGGTTTCCTCACAGTCGTTTCGGTCTTTTCCCGTTTTCCTAGACCCCCTTCAGCAGCCAACTCCTTCTTGGGGTGTATCTGCTTTTATGGGGTACTGGGATGAAATCTGGCCTTGAGTTCTAATTACCTCTTGCTGCATAACTAGCCACCCCAAAACGGAATGGCTTGGGGGGAAATCTATTCTCTCTAACATTTCTGAGTGGACCAGCCAAGCTGGGCAGTTCTGACTCGGGGTCTCTCCTGTACTGGAGTCAGATGATGGGCATGAAGACTCCTCCACGCGGACTTCTGGCGCCTGGGCTTGGTGGCTGTCACAGCTAAGGGCTGAGCAGGCATCTCTGTCTCTGTCCCCAGGCAGGGTCCCCACGGAGGCAGCTTGGTCCTCTCTGTCCCCTGGCAGGGTCCCCACGGAGGCAGCTTGGTCCTCTCTGTCCCCAGGCAGGGTCCCCACGGAGGCAGCTTGGTCCTCTCTCTGTCCCCAGGCAGGGCCCCCACGGAGGCAGCTTGGTCCTCTCTCTGTCCCAGGCAGGGTCCCCACGGAGGCAGCTTGGTCTGCATCACTGACACTGTCACATGGCGGCTCAGGGACCTCAGGAGTTGCTCCAAAAGACAGGAAGTGAGAGCGTCTGCTCTTTTGAGGCCTCGGCTGAGAAATATCACCTCTGCCCCCCTCTGGTCAGAGCAGTCACGGAGCCCACCCAGACTCAGGGGAGGGTGACAAGCCAACCTCCTGAGGGCCATCTTTAACCTGCCCCAGCCTTCTCTCAGCACCCCAGCCACACCAAGGTACCAGGGATAGAAAAGGGTGTTTTATGTACCAAATAAAAGAGACAGGTCAAGGGCAGAGGCCAGGATCCAAGGACATTTCCCTGTTGTCTATGAATCTACACAGTTCTGGTCAGTTTCTGATTCCAACCCCATAGTCTCAGCTCCCTCGGGGTGAGCCTACCCCTTCCCCCTCTCACGGAGAAGTATCATGGAATCTTCTAGACCAAGATTTTCCCTCAGGAAGGGTCTGTTTTGACCTCTTACTTGGACACTCAAGAAGCAAAACCAACCCAAGCGACTTCTCTACGTTTCAGACGTTTCCGTGTCAGAGTTACAATATTATAGCAGCACATTCGTGGCTTTCGGGCATGCAAACTGCAGGGCCCGGGCTCCCTCCGTCCACTCGGCGGGGAAGAAGGTCAGCTGGCCTCTCAGAATCATGCTTCCTGGTAACTTCGTCCTTCACTCGTGTTGGCTGGACACCTACTGGGTGGGGGGCTGTCCACCGACACCCTCTGCTGGACTCTACCCAAATCCCCCCGAGGGCGGCCCTGACCTCCAGGAATTGCCTGCTCTCCACCTCCACCTCCTCCTCTTCACAGTCTCACCCCCTCTCCCGACGGCCCCCACTTCGCTCGCCTGGGCGTCTGGACCCTCACACCGCCCCCAGGAGTTAAAGTGGTGAAGATTCCCAGCCTGACTTAGGGTCTTAAGCTGAGTTCGTTAGAGGCAGAAGTCTGCAAGCTGGTTATTAACTCACCAGGTTTGCAGGTGCCCTAGGACTTGTCAAACGGTAACTAAGAAGAAGAATCCCACGAGGAAAAGGACAGACTTGCTCTGCGTCCAAAGGAACTTGGGAGTTTACCCCGGGAAAGGTGATCTGCCGGCCAAGGCACGCGGGAGCGGGGGGGCCATTCCAGGGACCTGGGCCCACACCTTCCGCCCACCGTCCCTCAGCAGGTCCCTGGAGCTCAGGCGGGTGAGAGACGGTGGTGGCTCGCCTGGGGGCTTGCCCGTCGATGGATTTAGGGTATGGTTCAGAGCTGAGCCAATGCAACTTGCTGATAAGTCGGACACGGAGCAGGAAAACGTTAACAGTATTTACCCTACGCGGTTATCATGTGGATTCGATCAGTTATGCTTTGTAAAATCCCTGGCCCCATGCCAGGCCTCCAGAAAGCCTCCCTCGATGTGCCAAAGACAAAGACAGACGGCTGTGCCAGGGGTCTGCTGGGGCCCAGACGCAAGAGGTCTGAAGGGGTCTGTGAAGAGGTCACAAGAGGTCTCTACAGTCTGAAGAGAAGGGGTTTGGGAGGTTTAGGCTGTGCAATGTTCTGGCATAACAGGCAGTGTTGTGGGAAGACGGGGTCCCCTCCGAGAAACACTTCTTCCTCCCAAAGCCTGGGCTGCACATGTCTAGGGTGGGGGCTGCGCACGTCCGGGGCCGGGGCCTCGTGGATGATGAGACAGCACCCCGTCTCTGATTCTCTCTCCAGCCTGCTGGACTTGCATTTGCCCAAGTTTTCCATTTCTGGAACATACCACCTGGAAGAAATCCTTCCCCATATTGGTCTCACCAACATATTCAACTCAGAAGCTGACCTGTCGAGCATCACTGGACGGCTCAACAGAACCATCTCCAGGGTACGGTGGTGAATGTGGGTGCATGTGTGGGAGGGGCGCCTTCTCCCCTTTGGCATCAAGTGTATGTTTGAAAGTCAAGTTCCCCTTTCTTTTTCCTAGTCTGGGTCTTTATACCACAGTCCTGAGGCTCCTTGCCAAGGGCCTTCCCACCTCTCTCTCTATACTCTTCAGAGCAAGGACACAGTCCCGAATAGAACGGACACATGTTTGCGTCTCCACAAAGCCACGTTCCCCAGGTGTGGGACTCGCTTTGCGCTGATTCCCGACACCCCTGCCCAGGACAGGCCGTGGAAGCCTGTGCGCCCCTCCAGGCCACGGGGAGCGGGAGCCCGGTTCCCCGGCACGGCTCACCGCTGACCGAGGCTGAGCGGGAGAACGTGCGTGCAGCTGCGGGGAGCCACCCTGGGCCGTGCCACGCGCACACAGGTGCTTGAGAAACGTTCCCAGAAGCCGCCGTTGGGTTTCCGCAGCCTGGCTTGTGCTCCGGCGGCCCTCGGCCATGTTCAGGCTCATCTGTCTCCCCACCAAGGAGCACACACACCCTCGGGGCCCCCACAACATGAGAGGGGGGGAGGGGGAGAGAGAAACAAACGAAGGCTGAGTGGCGTTCTTGGAAGGCGGGGCCTGTGAGAGGACTCTGACTCCCCCTTCTCGGGGTCGCGTGGTGGCCTCTGTCCCCTTGAGGCGCCCTGAGCTGTCTCTGCCTTCCTCCCTCCTCCCAGGTATCCCACAAGGCAGCGATGGACATGAGTGAATGGGGAATCAAGGCGGGGGCTGCCTCGGGCCTCCTGTCCCAGCCCCAGTCCCCGAAGGTGACAGCGGCCCCGCACGCCCACTTCAACCGGCCTTTCCTGGTGCTGCTTTGGGAGGTGACCACCCAGAGCTTACTCTTCCTGGGAAAAGTCGTCAACCCAGCTGCAGGGTGACATGGGGGGGGCCAGGGCGCGCTCAGCTCCCCGCAAACCCCCAGGAAGGCCGCCGTCAGCCGGCGTCGTGGGCTGCCGTGAGGTGCAGCTCGTCCGTGGCCAAGACCCTAATAAAGTCGACCTTGGGTTGTGAACACTGAGGAGCAGAGCCGGACGGAGGGCAGCCCCGTGGTACCCTGCGCTCTCCATTCTCCTTGAGCTGGGGTGGACCGTGGTCAGGGGGCTGGAAATGACAGCAGCTCCGTGTGACGGCTCCTGGGAGACATCCACACCCGTGTGGCCACGGGTGTCCTTCGGGTGAGGGTCCCAGGGAAAGGCACAAAGAACGTCATCAGAAATAAGTGAGTCTCCCCCTTCACAGTGGCCAAGGTCGGCTCTACAGCCAAGTGAGGTCATCCTGAGATGTCACAGCCCAGGTGTCAGGAGCCAGATGCCCTGAGAGGAGACAGGTGTCAGGGCGGGAACTCGGCGCCATGCTCCACGCAGAGAGGGCCCCGGGCGAGGTTGGCCCAGTGCACAAATGGGCCAATCCAACACGGGAAATCACATGCCCAAGGGCAACCCCAAGATCAAAGGAAGTGGGAGGGTTAACAAGGCCAGGTGGCGATGGGTACAGGCCAGACACCAGTTAGTGGGAGGAACTGGGGGCAGCATTTGACTACAATGGAGCACCCTTGCAGGCCAGGAGTCCCACGCCAGGTTGCCCCTGGGGTCTTAAAGAGGCATCTCCCTGAAACTCCTGGGGAACAGAGAGGGCCATCAGCTCAGCCGCATGTACAGGGTGGGGCAAGCGTAGGTTTTGCCAAACACAGCATTTAACCTTGTGTTGTTATTTATCCATTATTGTATTATTTTCCGTATGCACAGCTGGAAACCTGCTTTTCCCCACCCCTGCACATACCATGTGTGCGACAATGCCTGTCCCCACGGTGAAGTCAGTGCCAGGACCTAGAGGGTAGCTGTAGGTGGTTCGTGTGTAGGAAGAAGTCATATCCTCAAAACACTGGTGGTAGGACACCCCTCCCCGACGCCACCCCAAGCAGGTGAGACCTGGATCTTGAAAACCAGGCAGGTCTTCCACGAGGGGAAGGAGGCTAAGGAATCTGGGGAGGGTGGGAGGTATGATGGCCGAGGCCAGGTTGCAGAACAGCGAGTCCGCACAGGGTGGCCGCAGAAGGTCCTGCTGCGGGGTCAGGTGTTTGGAGGTAGAATGTTAAGGGCTTTGGATGCCGAGGTAAAGGCTGAGGATTTGTCCTGCAGACAGTGGGGAGTGTCCGTAGGCGACGGAGCAGTGGACCAGACAGACAGTAGGTTCTGACTCCTGGGGTGTGCGTCCCAGTGGGAAGACAGACAGTAAACAAAGCCGGTAAGGAAAACATTGCACCAGGGCAGTGAGGATGAGTTCTCTGAGGACAAGGACACGCTCAAGAAAGTCCCTGTGGCCCTGGCCAGTTTGGCTCAGCGGCTGAGCATCGGCCTGTAGACCAGAGAGTCCTGTGTTCGGCTCCCGCTAGGGGCACGTACCACAAAAAAAAAAAAAAAGAAAGAAAGAAAGTCCCTGTGGTTCCTTTGGAGGGGCAGTCGGACCCATTGATGGCGCCCAAGCAGACGGAGCTCTTGGTGGTGAAGCTGGGTCTGAGACGGAGACTAATGTGTGGCCTCCCCATGAAGAGAAACCACCTGGTTCCTGTCACCTCTCTGTCCTCTCAAGGTAGCCAGTGGTCCAGAGGTGCTTTCTAACTCTCTGCTCCGGTCCAGGCACGGTGATCACAGGTCCCCCTCTGCGTCCAGAGTCCCTCGCAGGTGCCCTGCCCGTGTCCCACGTGCTCTCAGTAGGCACCACCCCATCATCCAGTTGACAGATCTCCGCAGACTAGCCACATCACGAGGGCAGTTTCTGCTGTAGGAAAACTTCAGCGGAGCCTGGACTTGAACCCAGGCGGTGGGCTCCACACCCCTATGCTTACCCTCCGTGCCGTACCTCCTCTTGGGAACTCGAGCGACAAGCCATCTGCCCACACCCACCTGGGCGCCCCTGCAAGGACCTGACTCTTGGGGACATGGGTGGGGGGAGCCCAGGAGCAGGAGCATCTGGGGAGGACTTCACAGGGAATGACCAGAGCATGGGTGGTAACTGGTGCTTTGAGCAGCACTGAGGGCAGAGACGTGGCATTCATCTGTTTACTGGCACCACTTGCCACAGAGACTGGCACAGAGTGAGCAGCAAACCCTTCACTAACTTCATGCGGTGAGGGGGGAGGGGAAGCAGAATTTGCCTTGGGGGGATATTGATTATTTTTAGAAACAAAAGACTCAGAAAGAAACGCTGACCCTCCCCCTTACCTGCCTAAAGGAACTCGGATAGAAACACCTGCTTAAAGGTCAGCATAACACGGACAGACAGACAGGAATCCGACAGAGCCTGTTTGCTAGGTGCCCTCTGTGTCCCCGTTCGGGTGGCCCAGCGGGAATACGTCTACCATGTTTGCTCCTTCTCGTCTACCTGTGAAGTCCTGTTTCCCCTGAAGCCCGGACCCCTGGCCCCTCTCCTCGGTGCACAGAGGCTTATGTGCCAACCTGTCCTGAGCCCGTGCCCTTATGCTCCCCCACACGTATGTACGTGATCAAGTTGGTTATTTCCTCGTTCACCTGCCTCATGTCAACCTGACTGTGAGACCAGCCAGAAGAGCTTAGAAGGGCAGAGGAAAACTTCTTTTCCCTTCACTACAGGAGGAAGTTAGGTCACCTGGTGGGACTTTGAGGCAAAGACTCAGAGGTGGGAAGAACACAGCTTGGTGGAAGACACGGGGTAAGGCCCACAACGTATGTGATGAGTTAGTGGGAGGGACCCTGACCTGCCCCAGGTTGTGCAGACAGCACCGTTTCTCTTTACTCTTCCTTCCCTCCTCCTTGGGAGACCCCCCGAGGCAGAATCCCACCCTAGTGCTTTGTACAACCTCCCGCTGAGCGGGCAACCACAGTGCCGTAGGTGCCAGGACCTAGAGGGTAGCTGTCGGTGGTGCATGTCTAGGAAGACATCATATCCCAAAATCATTGGGGCCTCGGGTTCTTCTGCACGATGAAAGCATAAAACCCATTTTGCAGGACGGTTGTGAAAATCAAATGAGCTCATGCACGTGACAGTAAGTGCCTGACGCACGGTAGGTGCTCAACGGACATGTTTTCCTTTTCCCCGTCGGTCTGTCGGCCCCTTCTTCCTGCACAGCAGAGCTCAGCTCCGGGGAACATCCAAATCCCAAGCGGCCCCTGGGACAGGTGTCAAATGTGGCCCCTCCCAGTGAAACCGTGTAGGTGGCGCTTCTTCAAAACCACGTAGGTGTGGATGGAGAAGCCTCAGGCATCTGCCTGGGCAAGAAAGCCATCACCTGGAGGGCAAGACCGTTCTTGTGCAGGACATTCGGGGCGACACAGTGGCTCTCAGGAAGGCGCCGGCCCGGGGAGTGGGCTGAAACTGCAGAGGCACCCAGGCGACAGCCCTGGGCTGTCCTCCACAAAGCCCATTGTGAGTGATCGCACACTGGCTGCTGCTTCCCTCCCCCCTTAAGCTGTCGCTTCCAAGCATCTGTGACTTAAGTAAGATTCTCCCCAACTGGAGATTCCAGAGGTATTTACACTCCAAACGGACCTTTTAATATCTAGAAGAAGCTGACCATTTTCACGGTAAGGGAACAGCTACCCGAAGTTTGTATTTTTAAAGGTCTAGTGACGCTGTCTCCAGTGGGTCTCCAGCCACCTCTGCAGCCCTCTACAGTCCCAGACACGCGTGCTCTGTCCCTGGATGGCAGGCAGCTTAGGCTTTGAATGTTGAGACTAAGCCCCTGGCCAGGTACAACCTACATGACACACAGGACCCTGTGGTGAAGATATCTCTGGGGCCACTGGTGTCTGTCACCCCACCTCAAGGTTCCATGTGCCCCACAGAGCCCATAAAATTGCCATAAAAGGTCTACTCCCTTCGCTCCAGCCAGGGACAAAGCTGAGAGCTTTCGAGTTGTCCATGGAGGAGCAGGTCTGTTTCCAGACTTCCTACTGACTATTCTGTTCAACTATTTGTCTTGTCTTGTGTCAGCACCACGCCGTCCTAATTAACGTCGCTTCATAATGAGTCTCGGTGTTAAAGTCAAATCCTCCAGCTTTGTTTTTCAGAGGTGTGTGTTTGCTTGTTTTGTTTTGTTTTCTTCGGGCCAAGGTAGCAGGTGGCTCTCTCTGTTCCTCCCCCCGCAGCCTTCCGTACCTCCATGGCCCCCGACTGGGGCACACTCATGTAGGCCCCAATTCCTAGGTTAAACTCCTAAAAACACTTTATTCCAAAAAGACTTGCAGTGCCTCTGTTTTCACAATCAAGAAAACAGATGGCTTCATCTTTTCCCCCTCTGTTCTTAAAGGATGCTTTCATGAGGTTTAGAGTTCAGGTTGGCAGGCGTTGACTTTCAGGGCTACAGAGAAATATCTGACTTGTTCAGTTTGGGTTGAAAAGTTGTCTATAATGCTTAATGTTATCCTTTAAAGGTAATGAATTTTTTCCCTCTGGCTGCTTTAAAATTTTCTCTTTGTTTTCATCCTTCAGTCATTTTATTTTATTTTTTCATTATCACATATTGTATTTATTAGCAGACCTATTTTTATTTTTGTTACAGATGTTTTTCCTTTTTCCCCTATTGACACCCTCCTCCCAATCCTGCTCCATCCCCAGCATTGTTGTCTATGTTCATGGTTATGCATACATGCGTATAAGTTCTATGGTTTATCTCTTCCCTCCCCTCGTCCCCCTCTTCTGAGGTTTGTCAGTCTAAACCCTACTTCTATGTCTCTGGGTCTATTTTGTTCATCAGCTTACTTTGTTCATTATATTCCACAAATAAGTGAGATCATGTGATATTTGTCTTTCTCTGCTTGGCCTATTTCACTTAGGATAATACTCTCTAGGTCCCTCCATGTCGTCTCAAAGGATAAGAGATCTTTCTTACAGCTGCATAGTA